TTCGACTTTGTGCAAACTTCACATATCAAGTCTGCAGTTGTCCTCATCCGGATACGCACAGTTGGTACCGGCAATAGTTAGTTGTCACCGTATCAGCCAGCTGTCCATTGGTCATGTTCAGTGCCAGGATATCACCACAAATATTCTCATATGCCTTGTCATCCTGGCTAACTGCAAGTTGCTGAATGGACCCATGCTGCGCTTTCGTATCGGCGATGAAGGTCTAGCTATGCTGTACCCCCTCTTGGTGTCAAGGCAACGGGTCGCCCTGCAATTTCAGTGTGCAGGGCTGTCATCGGCGGGTGCATCAGTGATCATACGTGTTATCACAGTGAATCATGGACACCTTGGCGTGTTAGCTCTGAATGGTCTGTCTGACATGCTCCTATTCACTCTGGCACCAAGCATAGTGTTGTGTAAAGCATTGCGAGTGCTGACAGTGCAATCTGGCTCTCTCACTTCCGAATCGCTTCCTGTGCTTGCTGGTATTCTGCTATCATGCCCCCTTCTCCATATTCTTTGTGTCGGTGGCAATACTCGCCTCTGCCTTGAGAACGACGAGGAGGGGTGTATGCGGTTTGTCAGAGCTGTACGCAGGAGTGAGAAGTTGGAAATGCTATTCATGCCCCATCCAGAGTTTGTGAATGATCACCTGGCCGGGCTGCTTGCTAGTGTGGCTGCAGAAGTTGAGCGTTACCTGCGGATTGTGTACGAATGACTGTGTAGGATAGTTGATACCATGCTAGCCCTACCCTACAGTCTGGTGGTGTGGAATGTAGACCATGCCAGCCCTACCCTACAGTCTGGTGGTGTGGAATGTAGGCTGTAGGACCACACAGACTACACAGTGTGTATATACATGTACATACTGTGCACTGAAGTATAATAATAGGTAACACACATTACTGATCTCTGAGCATAGTGTTCTTGTCCCCAGTACATGCTTCGCCCAGCAAAGCCTGCACCCCGTTGCTTCCCGTACGACACATTTTTGTTATGTTGGCCGGTTCGCTACATGCGCGCCCATATCTGCCATACAGCACTCAGGCCCTTTACAGAGATGCCCACCAACTCGGCCTGCTTTCTGTTCTGCGCCTTCGGATTTTCCGTCTTTTTGCAGTGTTTTTGCGGACTGCCAATGTACTGCCGTGTGCATCGTTTGTATTGCTTCTTTTTTACACTCATATGCTTGTTGGCGGCTGGATTTGCTACCACAAACTTTGTGTGACTCGTACCAAGACTTGATTGTTGTTCTACATGTACTGATGCTGTCGAAGAACCGCATGCACTCGCTTTGCTACAAGCGTATTTATCGCTCCGATTACGCTTGCCATGCTTCTGCATACATAGTTGAAGCTGATCAATTTTCCGTGCAATGCTGCTCAAATTCCGTACTGCGGACGAGGGAGTGATTTTCAGTGAAAAAAATACGGGAACATACGTAGATTTGGCAGCACTGCAGGCTTTATCTGGCGCAATCCCTTTCGTGCTCTCTGTCTCTCATGCGTATGAGGAGATCAGAAACCATCTACTCCAGTGGAACACTGAGCAATATACCTTGTTGAGTGATATTTTTGCTTGCTTTCTTTTAATTTCCTGCCGATGACGGACACATACATGTACATGTAGGCATGTAGTGGTTGATTTTTCACTTGAGAATTTAATAATTACGAGACGGGACATTTTCATTCCCTCAGAACTAGTGATTATATTTACGAGACGGTTTTGATTGTCTTCTCATCTCCTGAGTACATCAGCCATGCATGTAGGAATGGACGGTATTGCCTGGTGATATAAGTAGCTTGAGTGTTAGTCGGTACAATAGGCTGACTAGAGTACCGGACAACCAAGCCTAGTCTGCTATGCTTTTTCTTATAGTGAATAGTACACAATGAGCAATCATACCTGATATCGGTCTTGTCTTGTGCGGAGCGGCTGCATAATGTGTGTGTGCGGGGGGGGGGGGGGGGGGGGCAGAGTGTAGGGCATGGGTATAACGTTTAATATGTGTGTGCATTTGCTGGGGGGGGGGGGGGGGAGTAGTGCATGGGTGTAAATGGGGAGGGGGGGGGGGGGTGCATGGGTGTACGGGTATGTGTTTGTGTTGGACAGGGGGAGGGGAGGAGTGCATGAGTGCACGTGTGTGTTGGGATGGGTGGGTTGCATGGGTGCATGTGGGTGTATTGGGGGGGGGGGGGGTGTAGGAGTACAGTAATCTACATGCATGCCTGGTGGAAGCGGTCCGACTGGTCTGGCCATGGTCGGACCAACCATTGGACAATGAATTTGTGTTTTCTGCTAAGGAGGTCATGAGTAGCCGCCGCCATATCATACACAAACTGTATGAAAGGCTAGGATACGGTCGGACCAAACCCAAACTCGGTTCCGACATGGGTATGTGTGTCGGGGAGGGGGGGGGGGGGGGGCAAGTGCGGTGCATGGGCGTATTTGTGGATGTGTAGGTAGTGCATGGGTGTATACATTCACAATGCAGGATGGGGGGGGGGGAGTGCTTGGGTTTATGTGTGTGTGTGTGTGGGGGGGGGGGGGGGGGGGGGGGGGAGTGCATGGGTTTATGTGTGTGTGTGGGGGGGGGGGGGGTGCATGGGTTTATGTGTGTGTGTGGGGGGGGGGGGGGGAGTGCATGGGTTTATGTGTGTGTGGGGGGGGGGGGGGGGAGTGCATGGGTTTATGTATGTGTGTGTGGGGGGGGGGGGGGAGTGCTTGGGTTTATGTGTGGGGGGGGGGGGGGGAGTACATGGGTTTATGTATGTGTGTGTGTGTGGGGGGGGGGGGAGTGCTTGGGTTTATGTGTGTGTGTGTGTGGGGGGGGGGGGGGGGGGGGGGGGAGTGCATGGGTTTATGTATGTGTGTGTGTGGGGGGGGGGGGGGGTATGCATGCGTGTAAAGTGGACTCCACTTACAATGAACTCGCATGTTGCGAATTTAGTGAAAGAGCGAACCCGTGTTTATGTCCCTGTTTATAACGAATCATAATTATCTTGTGCTCGGGGGAGTCAGGGCAGGCAGCAGGTAAACCAAGTTACATGTACCTACTTGTCATGGGCCACATGCCAGTCATGACTTGCTGCTTGTATGGGCATTGGTGTGAGTGGTATAACCCACTTCGGCTATCAAGAACGAATTCTTCTGCTCGATTGTGTTCGTTATAATTATCAGGAGTCGACTGACATGTTCTTTGTGTGGCATTGCACACGTACTGTAGCGAGATTAGGCTAAACGACCGAATGAGACGATAGATTTCTGTAACTGACCTCACAGAACAACAAGGCCAAGCAAGACTAGTTTATATCTACTCGAGAAATCCATGATTTATTCAAAGTCACATATCAGTGAATAATGGTAAGAGTAGCGACAAACAGTTAACTAGCCTTGCTTACCCTTGTTGTGCTGTGTATCACGCTCTGTCTCCGCCGTGGTGTTGAGCACTGTCAGCACCGTGACTGGGTACATACTCCGCCGTGGTGTTGAGCACTGTCAGCACCGTGACTGGGTACATACTCCGCCGTGGTGTTGAGCACTGTCAGCACCGTGACTGGGTACATACTCCGCCGTGGTGTTGAGCACTGTCAGCACCGTGACTGGGTACATACTCCGCCGTGGTGTTGAGCACTGTCAGCACCGTGACTGGGTACATACTCCGCCGTGGTGTTGAGCACTGTCAGCACCGTGACTGGGTACATACTCCGCCGTGGTGTTGAGCACTGTCAGCACCGTGACTGGGTACATACTCCGCCGTGGTGTTGAGCACTGTCAGCACCGTGACTGGGTACATACTCCGCCGTGGTGTTGAGCACTGTCAGCACCGTGACTGGGTACATACTCCGCCGTGGTGTTGAGCACTGTCAGCACCGTGACTGGGTACATACTCCGCCGTGGTGTTGAGCACTGTCAGCACCGTGACTGGGTACATACTCCGCCGTGGTGTTGAGCACTGTCAGCACCGTGACTGGGTACATACTCCGCCGTGGTGTTGAGCACTGTCAGCACCGTGACTGGGTACATACTCCGCCGTGGTGTTGAGCACTGTCAGCACCGTGACTGGGTACATACTCCGCCGTGGTGTTGAGCACTGTCAGCACCGTGACTGGGTACATACTCCGCCGTGGTGTTGAGCACTGTCAGCACCGTGACTGGGTACATACTCCGCCGTGGTGTTGAGCACTGTCAGCACCGTGACTGGGTACATACTCCGCCGTGGTGTTGAGCACTGTCAGCACCGTGACTGGGTACATACTCCGCCGTGGTGTTGAGCACTGTCAGCACCGTGACTGGGTACATACTCCGCCGTGGTGTTGAGCACTGTCAGCACCGTGACTGGGTACATACTCCGCCGTGGTGTTGAGCACTGTCAGCACCGTGACTGGGTACATACTCCGCCGTGGTGTTGAGCACTGTCAGCACCGTGACTGGGTACATACTCCGCCGTGGTGTTGAGCACTGTCAGCACCGTGACTGGGTACATACTCCGCCGTGGTGTTGAGCACTGTCAGCACCGTGACTGGGTACATACTCCGCCGTGGTGTTGAGCACTGTCAGCACCGTGACTGGGTACATACTCCGCCGTGGTGTTGAGCACTGTCAGCACCGTGACTGGGTACATACTCCGCCGTGGTGTTGAGCACTGTCAGCACCGTGACTGGGTACATACTCCGCCGTGGTGTTGAGCACTGTCAGCACCGTAACTGGGTACATACTCCGCCGTGGTGTTGAGCACTGTCAGCACCGTAACTGGGTACATACTCCCCAGTGTAACTGACTTAACATAGAAAGTCACTTACTATTTATTTTAGTACTTTCCTAATATCAGGCATAGAGTCACTAGACGGGCAATACGTAGTGTCCACTTTAGATATCCCGAGAGGTGAGGTTGTGTCGGTATAAGCAATGTCCACAGTGCCTTACAGACTGTATTCGTATCCATCATTTCGGATCGACTGGAACCTGACGAGTGACGACATCGTGCATGCAGTGGGAATATCAAACACTAACATACAGAGGATTTCTAGCACAAGTATTATTTATAAATTAAAGTTGCTATGAACCAATGACATACTATAATCAGCAAAATATTATCCCTCTACCGTGGCGAAAATACATGAAGTCACGTAATAAAAGTACAACTTAATCGTATTCAATGTATGCAACTACATGACGTCATCTTTTGTTCAAGTCACATGACATCAGCCATGACATCATCAAGTATTCAGCGAAAAAATTCCCAATAATATCAGTCGTGTGAGCTGGCATGTGACCAAGGGATAGTCTCATCTATGCATGGAGTATGTGGTTGTGGGAGTGCATGCGTGGGCAGGGGGCATGGCGCCAGGGGGGTGTTGAAACTAGGTATAAAGGCTAGCAGAAATAATAGGAGAATAGCAAAAAAAGAACTCAATGAACCTTTCTAGCGTAAGATAGTAAATCATGAAATTGGGATAGGAGTATGTGTGTGTGTGTGTGTGTGTGTGTGTGTGTGTGTGTGTGTGTGTGTGTGTGTGTGTGTGTGTGTGTGTGTGCAGGAGGTGGGGTGTAGATCAGCACGAATGGGATAAACACATTTCCCATTGCAAGACTGAGCCAGCAGCCAGCAATGGGGAAACTAACGCAAAGAATCGGGATAGGCCAATTGGACGCAAACACACACGTGCACGTACCCAAACACATCTATATACATGTACATGTATGATACATCGTCACCTATAGTCAAACACACACACACGGGCAGGTTCGCGCTCACATACACACACATGTGCACACATACACACACACACACACACACACACACACACACACACACACACACACACACACACACACACATGCACACACACACACACATGCACACACACACATGCACATGCACGCGGTGTATACTGTAGCCTGGTGTACATCATGCGAGCAGTGGAATGGAGCAGGGAGAGGTACAGTACAGTGTACAGGACTACTCATTCCTCCACTGCTAAACAAGCTGTGATGAGATAGTCACCGTTACTGCTGATACTGACATGCTGATGGTGGCTTGTACTACGGAAAAGCACGCCGCCGCTTTGCCACACCATCCACGGGTCGCAGTCCAAGTGTAATTTGTTCCCCAGAGGTACGGGAGTTAGACGGAATGGCCAATCCAGAGCTAGCACTGGACCTGACTATTCAACAGCACCTCCGACCGCCGTAGTAGCTGGTATAGTGTCACCCGCCACCGAACTGTCCAGGGACACCGTGCAACCGGAGTATGGGGCCGCACAAAGGTAGTGTAGGATCCGGCCCACAACGAGCAACAGGAGTGTGGGGTTGCACAAAGTAGTGTAACACTAACCCCCAAGGCTCAACAGAAGTGTGGGGCCTCACAGAGTGGTCTAGGACTAAACGCCCAAAGCCGGGCAACCAAAGTATGGTCCGCACACAAAGCATCAGGGCTGCACACGACTGCACAATCGAGGAGCGAGCCTGGCACTGATACGTTGAGCACCACGCAGCTAATGGATTGAACACCTCTGGACCTAGCGAACATGCATTCAAAAGACGTGGCGGCGACATGCGGAAACTACTCGGCACTTCCGGGTGATCCGTAACCCGTCGAGTAGATGTCATAATTAGACACCTCCGTTGGCCTGCGTGCAGTGACGGACATCTGCCGTTGTGTTGCGTACTCAGACGAATAAACAGAGTCGTCGTCGCCGTTCCCGTCGGCCGATTTCTGCGTGATGATCGAGACTGGGCGATGTGACATGTACTCGGATGAGTACACAGAGTCGGTGTCGTTGGCCATGGGCGCCAGGCGACCAAAGTTAGCTGGGATCTCGCCGTAATTGACGTCGTACTCGGATGCTTCGGAGCACATGGTGTCACCTCGGTCACGTCGCAGCGGAGACAGGGAATGCTCGCCGAGAGAGTGACGGGCTCGTGGAGAGGGACTGCGCTTGCGTGACGACTTGACGTACTTAAGCTGACGCGTCGGAGAGTCCAGGCTCAGCTGGGAGGTGTTGTATTGGAAGTTGTCGTCACCTGCCCTGCCTGCTGTGTTGTTGTGGGCGACGCTGATTTTGGACGACGACTGTCCTTGCGGAGGTGTGCTATGGTCTGAGTTAGTCCACTCGCTACGGTCTTTGACGTCCATGGAAATATATTCCGACTGGTTCACTTTGGATGGCCAGTTGGGCCGTTGAGGTAGTTGTGGCGAGTTACCCGCCATTAGAGCATAGATTCCTTCTGACGGTGGGTCAGCAGTCTGAATCTCCGGCAGGCTTCCGCGCGCTGGAGGTGGGGGTGCGGTGTTCGAACACCTTTCCCTCGGCGAGCGCATGAATTTTGTGCTGAGGACGGTGCGCAGACCATGAGACTGCTGACCGCCAGCTTCATCAACACTGGTTCGATTCAGTAGCGCGACGGTGGACGTCTTGCGGTCGGCTCGTTCTGACGGCATGGCCAGGGAGCCACTATTGCCACGGTTAGCGATGATATCATTGTCGCTGCTGTGTCGCTTCTGGTGCTTCTTTGTAATTGCGCCGGCCACTGAAGAGATTTAGAAAACAACAAACACTAGGATCATGCGGTATGTTCATGGACACGAAGGAAGGGTCACTAAGGCAAAGGACAAAACAGCTATTTTTAACCCTCAGCTACTCAATATCTTTTACGGTTTTTTTTATGTTTCTCATCACCGCGTGCATAGTAGGTTTTCAGACATCTTGGGTGAAAAACAAAGTAAACACTTGCACATGCAGTAGGGAGGTTAAGCTACACGTTATTCTAGACGTGAATATAAAGGTTCAGCTTGCGTTAGTTGGCTCTCGTGTTGGAAAACAACGCGAGTGACCTGCAGCTCACGTCGAAATTTCGAGTTTCACGCCAAGTGAAATTGAGCGTCACGTTAAAAGTAACGTGCAGCTTAACCTGCCGAGCATACAGTAAAACCTGTCAAGGCGACCACTCGGATAAGGAGACCACCTGTCCTAGAAGACCACTGCAACCAGGACCAAGGGGTGATAGTTCCAGCCAAATGACACTGGATACGGCGAGCCGCGTGACCTGGTAACAGAGACCACGTCTCGAAGGTCCCTTGAGCGGTCGTCTTAGACAGGTTTCACTGTACATGTATATGTGTGCTCCGTCCGTCAGCCATGTATATGTGTGCTCCGTCCGTCAGCCATGTATATGTGTGCTCCGTCCGTCAGCCATGTATATGTGTGCTCCGTCCGTCAGCCATGTATATGTGTGCTCCGTCCGTCAGCCATGTATATGTGTGCTCCGTCCGTCAGCCATGTATATGTGTGCTCCGTCCGTCAGCCATGTATATGTGTGCTCCGTCCGTCAGCCATGTATATGTGTGCTCCGTCCGTCAGCCATGTATATGTGTGCTCCGTCCGTCAGCCATGTATATGTGTGCTCCGTCCGTCAGCCATGTATATGTGTGCTCCGTCCGTCAGCCATGTATATGTGTGCTCCGTCCGTCAGCCATGTATATGTGTGCTCCGTCCGTCAGCCATGTATATGTGTGCTCCGTCCGTCAGCCATGTATATGTGTGCTCCGTCCGTCAGCCATGTATATGTGTGCTCCGTCCGTCAGCCATGTATATGTGTGCTCCGTCCGTCAGCCATGTATATGTGTGCTCCGTCCGTCAGCCATGTATATGTGTGCTCCGTCCGTCAGCCATGTATATGTGTGCTCCGTCCGTCAGCCATGTATATGTGTGCTCCGTCCGTCAGCCATGTATATGTGTGCTCCGTCCGTCAGCCATGTATATGTGTGCTCCGTCCGTCAGCCATGTATATGTGTGCTCCGTCCGTCAGCCATGTATATGTGTGCTCCGTCCGTCAGCCATGTATATGTGTGCTCCGTCCGTCAGCCATGTATATGTGTGCTCCGTCCGTCAGCCATGTATATGTGTGCTCCGTCCGTCAGCCATGTATATGTGTGCTCCGTCCGTCAGCCATGTATATGTGTGCTCCGTCCGTCAGCCATGTATATGTGTGCTCCGTCCGTCAGCCATGTATATGTGTGCTCCGTCCGTCAGCCATGTATATGTGTGCTCCGTCCGTCAGCCATGTATATGTGTGCTCCGTCCGTCAGCCATGTATATGTGTGCTCCGTCCGTCAGCCATGTATATGTGTGCTCCGTCCGTCAGCCATGTATATGTGTGCTCCGTCCGTCAGCCATGTATATGTGTGCTCCGTCCGTCAGCCATGTATATGTGTGCTCCGTCCGTCAGCCATGTATATGTGTGCTCCGTCCGTCAGCCATGTATATGTGTGCTCCGTCCGTCAGCCATGTATATGTGTGCTCCGTCCGTCAGCCATGTATATGTGTGCTCCGTCCGTCAGCCATGTATATGTGTGCTCCGTCCGTCAGCCATGTATATGTGTGCTCCGTCCGTCAGCCATGTATATGTGTGCTCCGTCCGTCAGCCATGTATATGTGTGCTCCGTCCGTCAGCCATGTATATGTGTGCTCCGTCCGTCAGCCATGTATATGTGTGCTCCGTCCGTCAGCCATGTATATGTGTGCTCCGTCCGTCAGCCATGTATATGTGTGCTCCGTCCGTCAGCCATGTATATGTGTGCTCCGTCCGTCAGCCATGTATATGTGTGCTCCGTCCGTCAGCCATGTATATGTGTGCTCCGTCCGTCAGCCATGTATATGTGTGCTCCGTCCGTCAGCCATGTATATGTGTGCTCCGTCCGTCAGCCATGTATATGTGTGCTCCGTCCGTCAGCCATGTATATGTGTGCTCCGTCCGTCAGCCATGTATATGTGTGCTCCGTCCGTCAGCCATGTATATGTGTGCTCCGTCCGTCAGCCATGTATATGTGTGCTCCGTCCGTCAGCCATGTATATGTGTGCTCCGTCCGTCAGCCATGTATATGTGTGCTCCGTCCGTCAGCCATGTATATGTGTGCTCCGTCCGTCAGCCATGTATATGTGTGCTCCGTCCGTCAGCCATGTATATGTGTGCTCCGTCCGTCAGCCATGTATATGTGTGCTCCGTCCGTCAGCCATGTATATGTGTGCTCCGTCCGTCAGCCATGTATATGTGTGCTCCGTCCGTCAGCCATGTATATGTGTGCTCCGTCCGTCAGCCATGTATATGTGTGCTCCGTCCGTCAGCCATGTATATGTGTGCTCCGTCCGTCAGCCATGTATATGTGTGCTCCGTCCGTCAGCCATGTATATGTGTGCTCCGTCCGTCAGCCATGTATATGTGTGCTCCGTCCGTCAGCCATGTATATGTGTGCTCCGTCCGTCAGCCATGTATATGTGTGCTCCGTCCGTCAGCCATGTATATGTGTGCTCCGTCCGTCAGCCATGTATATGTGTGCTCCGTCCGTCAGCCATGTATATGTGTGCTCCGTCCGTCAGCCATGTATATGTGTGCTCCGTCCGTCAGCCATGTATATGTGTGCTCCGTCCGTCAGCCATGTATATGTGTGCTCCGTCCGTCAGCCATGTATATGTGTGCTCCGTCCGTCAGCCATGTATATGTGTGCTCCGTCCGTCAGCCATGTATATGTGTGCTCCGTCCGTCAGCCATGTATATGTGTGCTCCGTCCGTCAGCCATGTATATGTGTGCTCCGTCCGTCAGCCATGTATATGTGTGCTCCGTCCGTCAGCCATGTATATGTGTGCTCCGTCCGTCAGCCATGTATATGTGTGCTCCGTCCGTCAGCCATGTATATGTGTGCTCCGTCCGTCAGCCATGTATATGTGTGCTCCGTCCGTCAGCCATGTATATGTCGTCAACCAGCACTACAACCGGATAATGTTTGGTACAGGTCCTGAGCATGGTAGCATCATGTAAATGGTGCTTTTGTGTTTTGTTCAAATTATTCTTCACATGACAGATCACTGATGTAGTCACATTAGAGAGGTTCCGCGTACGATTTTCCGTGCCAAAATCCGTATGGGCACTACAGATTGTTCCGAGGCGTGCTCCATACGATTTTTTGGCACGGAGAATCCGTGTGGACTGGCTTTCATACGAACTGACGAATGCTGCTACACGCGGTCAAGCTTCAGCCGCTCTGAACCTACCCAGAGCTACGTCTCGTTACGGCCTGAATGCTATTTCATTTTTGGCAGCAGACAGATGGAATATGCTTCCACCTGGATGTCGTCAAGCTAAGCCCCTTTCTGCATTTGTCACAAGCACCAAGTCATTCCTAGGGTTCCCAGTAAAAAGGCAACGCCTGTTGGGAGTTCCCTAGTAAAATAATAAACTCTACTACTACTACTACTACCATGTTTCGTATCGAGATTTTGCATCATCGGGTGCAGAAAGATTTTTTGCGTGCAAATTTGGTACGAGAAACATCGATTTTCTGCGGGAAGTGTTGATTTCGGTACAAATCTTCAAAATTAAAAGGCATAGCCCGGGAATGTGACGTTTTGCGATCGTAACCTAGGCAATGACGGCAAACACATAAGTTGCGTACTCCGGAACATTTCACTGCTCGAAAACGACGTATAAAAAATCCGTAGCGCCTGTATGAATTTTGGCACGAAAAATCGTACTCCGGAACCTCTCTGTTATAGATGCTTGAGATAGTCACATGACAGATCACTGATGTAGTCACATGATAGATCACTGATGTAGTCACATGATAGATCACTGATGTAGTCACATGATAGATCACTGATGTAGTCACATGACAGATCACTGATGTAGTCACATGACAGATCACTGATGAAGTCATATGGCAGATCACTGATGTAGTCACATGATAGATCACTGATGTAGTCACATGATAGATCACTGATGTAGTCACATGATAGATCACTGATGTAGTCACATGATTGATCGCTGATGTAGTCACATGATAGATCACTGATGTAGTCACATGACAGATCACAGATGTAGTCACATGATAGATCACTGATGTAGTCACATCACAGATCACTGATGTATTCACATGATAGATCACTGATGTAGTCACATAACAGATCACCCAGATAGCCACAAGAATGGGGTCTAGTATATAAGCGATGTACTCGCACAATTCGGGTCAAGATGACCGACTGTATGAATATGCACTCACGGTCATGCTGGCGGTGTCGGTGCGAGGAGCAGACCAAGGCAATGATAGCTGCAATCACAACGGCCACGCCACTCGCTATGATACCAAAGTACGTGGGGTCCAAGCCGGAGGAGCTGCTCGCTGGACTTGTGGTTGTTGATGATGCTATGGAAACCATGACCGTGTAAATACAAATATGCACATACATACACATACCGCAAGCACACACGCACACACACATACACGCACACACACGCGCGCGCGCGTGCACACGCACACGTGCACACACGTGCACACACACACACATCCACGTGTAAGGGCAGGTGTACGGTGTATGTGTGTGTGTGTGTGTGTGTGTGTGTGCGTGCACTCACACACATGTGTGTGTGTGTGTGTGTGTGTGTGTGTGTGTGTGTGTGTGTATGTGTGTATGTGTGCGGATGTGTGAAAAGGAGAGAGAGACAGAAGATAGAAACATAAGACAGCTTAAATCAAACAAGCAAACAGACATACTGACAACCAAATGGACAAACAGAATGATAAACAGACAGCAAAGCAGTCAGCTTCACAGACTGACAAAGAAACTGTTCATCAGCTTAACAGACTGACAAAGAAAATTTAACAGACAAACAGACTGACAAACGGACTGACAAACGGACTGACAAACAGACTGACAAACGGACACCGAACACATGGCCGGCAGTCAAGTAGACTGGCAGACAAGGACATGTCAGTATTGTAAGTCAACAAATATTCGGCGCATATTTATTTTCGGCTATTTTCGGCCTGGTCATATTTGGCCGAAAATTTGTTGGGCTGCGACTTATAATCGAGTGCGACGTATAATCGGGGAAATATGGTACTCACTTGGAGTCACACCCGTAACTGACACTATCACAGTTGCTGACGACACGTTAGAGCGCAGCGCGTTGGTGAACCGAAAGACGACAAGGTGCTCCGCGAACGGAACGGCGGTGATGAGGCGCAGCGTTGCTGTGGTGTTGTGCCCGCTGGTTTCAAACGCGAGCGCGCCAAACGTGTCCATGTACGGCTCCTCGACCAGCTTGCCCGTCCGGTTAGAGTAGATGGCCCAGGTGGCCACTGGCGCTGGATTGCCGACTGCCGCACTGCTCACGACGAGGTCATCGCCGACCCGCGCCGAGTACGTGCTGCTAGGGGACGTGTACACCTCCGGTGCATCTGCAGCAGAGGACAGCAGCATGCAGGTATGAACTGTAGTCATGCTATCAGACACACATCCGGTGTATCTTTCTTCTTTTCTTTTCTTTTTTTTAAAGAACAGAAATCCGGCTCGAGACGAAAATCAATAACAAGAAAGATAACAAAGTTGCAGGGAGAGCGAAGCTACGACTAGAACACAGAAGTTGAGGGTTGACAGAACAAACAACTATCGAGTCGGGGCTGACTACTAGTATCTACCAGTGCAGCTGTGTAGGTGGGATCTGCAATGTGAACAGCAACATGCGATTTTTATCTGTACTCGGGCTACACTTTCCTGAATACATGACATTTCTGTGAGTAGCAGATCCCCTGCCCTGGACAGGCCTAGAGCATCTGGGTAATCCTTTAAAAATACAGAAATAAATACAAAAGACCAGCCACTGATTTCCCCGATGGCGATCATAGTGCACTGCAGAGATTTTTGAATTTCTAAAGCGTTGCCTGCATGCTGCGGTGCTGTTACATCAGATCGAAGCAAATAAGGTTAGACAAGTAACTTCAAAAGGCATAGACTTGATGTTGCAGGTCTTAGACCAGCATACCGCATCATGTTTTTTAGGTAAAGGCGTACTGTTCAGTGACATTGGACCAGTGTACCACAACATTGAATCTTCGAAGGCAGAGGTGTACTGTTACATGGCCTTGTGTGATATCGGCGATATCAACAGTTCATGCACTCAAAGTCTCTCTCTCTAAACTACGATCACAATCAATGCTACGACACAGTCGCAGACTTTCACAGTTGAACTCGGGGTCGAGAGAGCCTAACTCTCGGGAACGTACTTCTCTTGGTCTGAATCACGGAAAGGCAAAGAATGATTGTGAACACTAGCAATTTATAGAGGAAGTTAGCTATCGGGGAGATCGATAAAACAGCGCAGCGGAGCAGGGAGAAGGATCGCTAGATCGAGATGGACAGCGTAGAGTACGGAATAGCTAGCGGGAGAACAGCGGGCTTTGCGGCAGAAAGATCGAGACTACGGGAAAAGACAGCGAGAACTAGCGGAAAGAATATCGAAGAGAAACAATGGAAACGTTATGTTTAGGTAGCGAATGAAGAAAGAGAAAGAGACGCCAGCGGTGTAACGGAATCCATAACTAATTGCTAAAGCAAGGGAGACAGTGTAGGAAAAGTGATATCTATTATTATGTGTGTGGACCAGACAGAGTGGCGGCAGGAGGAAGAATAAAATCTGTGAAGCATTCAGGCTATTGACTGTGGTGTGCAAAAAGCGTGTCTATCAGGCCGGCGTACAGGTTTCTATAGATGACAGGTCATGCATGCAAAGTGTCACGTGCTCCTACGCTACGGTGCGCCAATACTACACCACACCTTGTTTTCTTGAGAACACGCCCTCGTGTTCAAAGTATACAGGTAGTAAACATGAAAGAAAAAATGAAGCAGGGAAAACAATATAGATAAGGGTGTCTTACGATGACGTTTAAAATGATCTTACAATTTATGGTTGTCTATAGCGGTGAGGTCGCTGGAGTGCATTCCGAGGCCGGAGGTTATAGCGAGGCGGCGGGCCAGCCAGCGGTACGGGTAGGTCGTCATCGCAGGTCGGGTTAATCTGGGCCGTATACTGTGCAGGAGCGACTGGCACTTCAGGCGGCCGAATATACGGCTTGAGGCGGTTTACGTGGACCGTCAGCAGTTGGCCCTTGCTGGCGTCTTCGATGGTGGCAGTGACAGAGTCCAGCACCTTACGGACAACGAACGGGCCGGACCAGTAGCTGTGTAGTTTGGGCGACTTTCCTTTCGGGACGACGGGCGAGAAGACGGACACTTCAGCACCGACCTGGAGACGTGGCTTTGTGTGGACGGTGCCGTCATAACCCTTCTTCTGGCGACGGAGGGCGAGTGCATTCAACTGGCGGGCATTAGCAAAGGCTGTCTTAAGGGACGCTTCCAGTTGCTGGACATAGAGCGGGTAGTCCGGATGTGGGCGTGGAGGTGAACCGTACATGATGTCCAGAGGGAGCACCAGTTCTCGACCAAACATGAGACGGCTAGGAGTGTGCTGGGTGGAGGCATGCACGCAGGACCGGTACGCAAACATCGTCCGTTGCAGGTGTAAATCCCACTCCTGATGGTCGGTGACACAGGCGGAGAGCATCTTCTCAAGCGTACGATTGAAACGTTCTATCATGCCATCCGACTGTGGGTGATAGGCGGTTGTCCTGGTCTTGGTAATATCCAGCAGCTTACATACGGTCTGCATGAGTCGGGACTCGAATTGAGGGCCCTGGTCGGTATGGAGAGCGAGAGGTACACCGTAACGGCACACGAAGCCATCAACAAAGTAGCGGGCAACGGTGGAAGCAAGCATATCTGGCATGGCGAAAGCTTCCACCCACTTTGTGAAATAGTCGCCGATGACGAGGATGTACCGATTTTGGCGTGCCGTGGCGGGTAGCGGGCCCATGATGTCCATGGCAACACGCTGAAGCGGGAATGACGACTGTTGACTGCGGAGAGGAGCGGCAGGCTTTGGGACTGGGCCTTGGCGAGCTTGGCAAACTGGGCAGGCCCGAATAAACACTTCAATGTCCGAGGTCATTCCCGGCCAGTAGTAGCGCTGTCGAGCTTTGTCGGCCGTCTTCGTGATGCCGAGGTGAGCAGCAATAGCGTCAGTGTGGAGCGCAGTCAGGATGTCCTGGCGAATTGCAGATGGGACAATCAGCTGGTGAATTGGTTCGGCGGTCGTGTCATAGCGTCTGACGAGGAGGCCATCCTTGATCACTAGGCGGAACGGGAAGACAACACAACAGCCAAGGAAACAAAATGCAGAAATGGATGCAACCCAGTGCAAACAGAGCGATGGCAACGAAGTCAAGAATATATACAAAATCACATCGGTCACTAACCGGAGCCCAACAGGAGAAGACGGCTGGCGAACGTGGGCTCACCGTCGCAGCTGGCGCCAGTTTAACGGCTGGGAAGCCTGGCGTTGAGGAGCAGAGCGGCAGTCCCGGGCCAAATGACCGTCTCGCCCGCAGTTCCAGCACGATGTAGGAGGGCGAGGGCTGGGCGGCATGCGGCGGGGTGATGGCTCGTCACGCCGATGGTAGCCCGTGTCCCTGGTAGATCGGCGGGCAAGCTCCGTCTGGACAGACTGCAGTGCGGCCACGGTCTCCGCCAGGGCCTTCACTTGGTCGGCTAGAGCGTCCCTGGTCGAAGATGGCTGCGCGGAACACGCGGGCAACGTTGGCGGGCGCTCCTCCGGGGCAGTCTCCGCGCGTTGGATTGCCTGATGTTGCATCGCGGCCCGAAGAGCGTCGTCTAGCGTGGCGGGGTTCAGCTCGCGGACCCGGATCCGCATGGCACGCGAATCCAGGCCCTGGACGAACTGGTCCTTTGCGAGGACATCCAAATCAGCAGGCTGCATGGCCGGGTAGGCAAGGCGTGCAGAGTGTCTTACGTTCTCGCAGAAGGAGCCCAGTGGTTGCTCCTTGGACTGGTGTGAGCCCTTGAAATTGGCGCGGTGTAGGTCCACGCGCTGGGCAGGCGCGAAACGGTCCTGGAGCGCCTGAATGAGAGCAGCGACTGGGCCCTGTCGGGTGGCCTGGGGCAGCGACTGGTAATAAAGCTGAGCCTCGTCGTTCAATGATATTGCCATGAACTGACTCTGCTCGGCGGGCGTCCAGGCATTGATGGTAGCCACTTGCTGAAAGTGGTTGAGCCACGTCGGCCAGCTGTCCGACAGCGAACCAGCAAATTTGTTTGGCATAATAGCGTGAGGAGGCACACGCGGGACGGCGGCAGGCGCAGCAGCAGCAGCACCAGCAGGAGCAGGTTGAGCCATGGTGACCGGAGCGCAGGTGGTGAACGAGATTCAGGACAAGAGGAACGAGGACCGCTAAGTGGACAGAGAAGCAAGCAAGTAGCGACCGAGACAGCAAGAGGACTAAAGAAGAAAGCACGTAGAGGACGAACCACCGCTGCCACCAGTGTGATATCGGCGATATCAACAGTTCATGCACTCAAAGTCTCTCTCTCTAAACTACGATCACAATCAATGCTACGACACAGTCGCAGACTTTCACAGTTGAACTCGGGGTCGAGAGAGCCTAACTCTCGGGAACGTACTTCTCTTGGTCTGAATCACGGAAAGGCAAAGAATGATTGTGAACACTAGCAATTTATAGAGGAAGTTAGCTATCGGGGAGATCGATAAAACAGCGCAGCGGAGCAGGGAGAAGGATCGCTAGATCGAGATGGACAGCGTAGAGTACGGAATAGCTAGCGGGAGAACAGCGGGCTTTGCGGCAGAAAGATCGAGACTACGGGAAAAGACAGCGAGAACTAGCGGAAAGAATATCGAAGAGAAACAATGGAAACGTTATGTTTAGGTAGCGAATGAAGAAAGAGAAAGAGACGCCAGCGGTGTAACGGAATCCATAACTAATTGCTAAAGCAAGGGAGACAGTGTAGGAAAAGTGATATCTATTATTATGTGTGTGGACCAGACAGAGTGGCGGCAGGAGGAAGAATAAAATCTGTGAAGCATTCAGGCTATTGACTGTGGTGTGCAAAAAGCGTGTCTATCAGGCCGGCGTACAGGTTTCTATAGATGACAGGTCATGCATGCAAAGTGTCACGTGCTCCTACGCTACGGTGCGCCAATACTACACTTGGACCAGTGAACCATTTAAAATGTATTTTTTTAGGGTAAGGCTTACTGTTACATGGCCTTGGACCAGTGAACCATAATGATGTATCTTCTAAGGTAGAGGCAAGAGTACATAACCCCCCCAGAGTGTGCAACGCCTGATCCAGGTGTGCATAGGGTCTTGGTCGAGCGGAATCGGATCTTTGCGTCATAATACAGTACACATCTGAGAGGAACCCGGGAATTCGCGGGTACTCTCGGATCAAAATCAATGGTGCCCTGCCTCGAGACCGGCCTTGCGCTGGTGTGGAGTGTACGCATGACATCAGAAGATCCGATTCCGCTCGACCAAGACCCTATGCAGAGCTGGATCGGCGTTGCACACTCTGGGGGGTTATGTACTCTTGGTAGAGGTTTACTGTTGTAATAGCTGGCCCAATACGCAAGGAGAGAAAAATGTAACTAACTGCCCATCTTGGGGTTCGAACCTAGGACTCTGTATCCACACAAGCTCTACAAATAAATACTCTTTTACTGCGAAAAATATACTTTCTGTCAAAATGGAACTCCTACACTGTTACATAGCCTGGGAGAAAGTGGTCCACGTGATGTGCTAAGCTTAGTCTGAAATACAGTAGATTAGGTGGAACCACCTTCTGTAAAATAGCTAAGAAACAGGGAATCATTAGGAAAGACGTCCTATCGGATACACACAGACAGGTGTGGAAGTCAGGGAGAGAGGAAGAGTGTGTGTAAATAGATAGATAGATAGGTAGATAGATAGATAAACTCGGAGGGAGTCTAATGATCGGTTAAAACCGTGAAACTCAGAGTTACAGAAGAAACGCTTTTCGTCCCTCTCAAGTGTGTGTAGATAGATAGATAGATAGATAGATAGATAGATAGATACACACGAAAAAGAGAAATAGGTCCAGTTCAGTTTCACGCGTGAAACTTTGAGTCACGACAAATCCAAACTGGATCTATTTCTCTTTCTTCGTGTGAAACGCTCTGCACGTTGCCGGCAATTGCCAAAATTACTCCTTTGTAGATAGATAGATAGATAGATAGGTGGATGGATGGATGAAATGGAGGGAGGGAGGGAGGGAGGGAGAACTCACAGTAAACACCCAGTGTGAATGAGATTGACTTGACAGAGGCATCAGTAAAGGTAGCTTGGCATTGGTAAATGCCATCGTCATGCCTCTCTGGATCCTCGAGTGATAGCGTTGAGGACAGGACCCCACGTCCCGCGTAGCTCTGCACGTCAAGACGGCCGCCGAAAGAAGACGGCACGAGCTGTGTGGACTCTGCATCTAGCCATTTGTAGGTGCATGCCGGCATACAGGTGCATCTCAGTACAACATTGCCGGTTATGGTCTCGGAAGCGTTGAGACTTGTTTGCGAAGATGTTAACGTCCCAATGCCTGTACGGCAACACACAAAGGAGCAAATATGCATGTGAACACACACGGACATGTACACACACACATACACACAAACACACACACACACACACACACACATAATTATAGACTCATGTACACACACACAGACACATGTACACACAACCAACAACACACACACGCACACACACACACGCACACACACACACACACACACACATACACACACATGTACACACATGCACACACATGCACACACACACAACACACATACACACGCACGCATACACACGTCCACGGTTGCTCTAGGTGGAAACAACCTGCCATGCAAGCACACGCACACACGGTCCACTGTAACCTGAACATGACATGTCTGTCCCACAACAGGGTCACAGCATGACATACATGTATGTTCGAGCGCAGAGCTCCGCTCTAGACTGCTTCATGATCCCTTTCTTTGCTCACCTATAGCTCATCACTTCTTATACGGCTTTGGTATTATGGAAAGTTTGGATACCCCCATCGATAGGCGACAGCCTTTGGGGAATCATTTTAAGTAATTAACACAATAAACATTGCAAATTACAAATTGTCATTTCCGTGGCCCGTTCCAATGCTTACTCCGAGTGGCAGTGGTCGCTGGGATGAGAGTCACCGCATGAGATGTCGACGGAGCTGCGGTAGCGCTGCTTGGCATTACGGTCGCCCGCGCTGCTGTTGTTCCCAGCAAGCTAGTCGGCACGGTATCCGCAGTGACAGAGTCCGAGGTTGAACTGCCTGTCGTCGACACTCCGGTACCTGTTCATAAAGTGGACACGGGGCAGAGCACAAAGCACACCGTTCCACAACGATTGGACACACAGGAAAGCACCGGGTGTTTTTCTTTGGACTAATCTCCCGCCGGTGAACATCAGCATCGGACTGTTTGCCGTCTTTCGGACATTGCCACTCGCGCTTGACAATAGCAGCTGTCCACATGTGCAGTTGCACTGAGTCACGGTGTTCTTTTTGTGAACCCTCCTTCCCAGAAGCAAATGCTGCTTTTTATACATCGTGTAATTACCCAGCTTTATTTGCAAAAAATATGTAAAAATACATGTTCTCCCTCATTTTATAACGAGTATGGTTAGTACATAAACCCCGTTAGTAAAATAGAAATCTGAAATCCCCTGGCGATACGTGGTCTATACAACTGTTTACACGTCCGGTTACAACATAATTCGATAGTACATAAAATTCGATATAACGACCCTTTTCCCAGGTCCCTGGAGTGCTAAACCCTCAGTATAAGATAATATTGACCATGCAGGACCAAGGCCAAAACACATACTGAAGTAGGATAAAGCAGAAAGGAACAACGTATTATATCTATGTGTCGTAGATACGTACAATCTTTCGCATCCAAGGAAGAGCAATGTTGGAGATTTTCAATTATCTTATAACGAGTTGAAGCATCGATAATTATTGTTTATGTTGTATTGAGGGTAGCCCAGGTAAGTACGAATTAGTGCCTATTTCCAGGCGCGTAGCACTGCCATTGGAGGTGGTCCGGCCGGAGGGGCTTCGGGGGTCTCTCCGGGAAATTGTTTGAAATTAGGGTGCAAAATCCTGCATTCTGGGCACTTTTGGCCGTGGTCGGGCGAAAAAGTGGTCCGGCCAAAGCCTGACCGGCCGGACCGGCTGCTACGCCCCTGATTTCGCCTTTAGCTGCAAGTCCTATTACGAGATAAGTCTCATTACAACCTGTATTAGCCTTATCAGCAGATCATATGTCAAGGTCTTTTAATTAAATCCCTTTCCATGCCAGCCTGCTGCTACTACCACCGAGCATCCCGTAATGGCCGTATAGTCAATGTGATGAGCTAACCCTACTCAAAGCGGCAGGCATAGCTCCGAACGAAATACAATTCCAACTTCACCTCACCTCGGTGAATTCTCACAATCCACGGCTCGTTGGAAAGATCTGGATCAGAGAAGCCATTTGAGCGATTCACAGCTCAACAGGCATCTTAAGGTCAGGCCCTTGCACTTTACAAGTCACCCAGTGTGCCGGAAAATGAAGAATAACTGCCCCTCGCGTTTTCGCTCGCGTTCCTACTCTCACAATCAAGGGAGATTCACTATTCAACTGCGCTAGACAGCTGAGACTCAAGCCCTCCGTTGTTTGATGCTCATTACGCAGGTGCTGTGTCCAGGGAAATTCCCTAACACGCACCAATAGCGAACCAAAAATTGTACTGTTTGCCAAACAAATTTGCAAATCCTGGCCGTTCGATTGTCACCAATCGGTCATACTTTGTCCTGGCGCGAAGAACTTAAATCCCTGGAAAGCTCAGCTTAAGACCTTTCCAGCGATGCGTTGCTAGGAATCCGTTACCTTTCAACAGAATAATTGTGCGTACAACAAAATGACAGTTTGTACAACCAGCTATACAGTATGACCAGGTCTAAAAGCCACCTCTGATTTTGGCGACCACCTGCTTTTAAAACGACCGCTTTTCCATACACAGACAGTTCTACACGGAAACCGCACCGGATACAGCGACCACCTGCCTTGCGCGACCAGCAACCGACTTTTAGTGTACCGAGTGCCATATCTGAGCTGCACCCAGTGACCAAAACTAGCAAAAAGTGCTATCCCGGCTGGCAGGCTTGACTGCAACAGGGTTGAAATGCGCTCAGAAACAAGTGCATGCAGTCAACATAAGTGACAAGTGCATGGCAGTGCAGGGTGCGCTGCATGCACTTGAGTGGAGTGTGAAACTCACGGGTGCTTTGTTCGCACGAAAGTATTCCACGCTCCATTCCTGTCAAGATGAGTACATAGAAGTGCATGACTCCACAAGTGCTAGTAGTTTGACAGCATATTACAAGGTGGTGGAGCACCGTGTTCGGAAACAGTGTCCCCTGCTACAACCATCCATGGTTGGTAGAGCCCCGGTCTTGCGACCATCTGAACCGTATCCTGGGCTCAACCAACAGTGGATGGCTGGAGCAAGGGGCAATGCTTCCGAACACGGTGTTCCATCACCTGGTGATATGTTAAGAAAGGCTTCGCTCCCCACACCGGAGCTCGCGCTATTCCGCCGACTTCGTGTCCTCTGGATGGCAGTCGTGAGTCAGTCAAGTGTCAAAGTCAGGTCGACAGAATAGCGCGAGCTCCGGCGTGGGGAGCGAACCCTTTCTCACAAATCATCGCCGAAGTCGCAACCACTATTTCGTACTGTAATATGTTGTCAAACTAAAAGCATGTTTCCACAAAACAAGGTTTATCTGAAACTGAAGAACTAGTATGTACACGATCAGATATGTCGCGAATGCACGAGACATGGTTCGCGAATGCATGGGACCTGGTTCTAAAGATCACCTGGCTTTAACGACCGCTTTTGCATGCACCGTGGGGTGGTCGCATTGTTAAACCAGGTTTTACTATATGTATAAGCTAACCAGGTGATTATATGGGAAGTATAAACCTGTATACAAACCAAGGTGTAGGCGCAGCCGACGTTGTGTATTGGTTTATATTTCCCTCAATCAACTCAACAGGTAAAAATACGTTTATATGAGCCAGTCTGATCCGTTTAAAAATGAGTTTTATACCCAGTCTATACACCAGCCTATATTCTCTTCGTGTAAGTGTTGTAGGCCTAATTTACTGTATTAGTAAGGCCTCTGACGGGCACTGGACTCATCAGACACTGGACTCATCAGGCACTGGACTCATCAGACACTGGACTCATAGAACACTTGCAAAGGAGCCCGAAACGGCATCCGAATGAATTAGCTTTCAGAATCAGAATGCGGAACCGAAAATGGAACTGAACTGAATCTGAGTCAGAACCCGAATGAAAATGCTTAGACCAACCTCGTGGTTATCAGGCTGATTGAAGACTCTGGGGGATCTTCAACCAGCCAACCAGAGCATCTAGAATAATTATAGTATATTATAGTAGTTAATGATAGCTTGCATAGACCTCGGTCCTACCGGTAGGACCTACCGGTAGGACCATCATACACAGACATGCTGCATGGCCTCTGTTCTAACATTGACCTAAAACTTGACCCTAAACTGTTGCTCAGGGGCTAATGAAGGAGTCCACAAATTTTAGACGTGATCGCACAAGGCATAGTACGAAATTCCATGGTAACAGCAAATGGTAACCATGGGAACGGTGTATGGAATTATGCATTCCACTGCCTTGGCAGACTAATAAAAACATTAGTACCTCACCACGATTGATGTACCATGGTCAAAATTCACTTTGGACAGAGTTGCTAGCGCTCCGACAGGAGTATGTGCGGCCATTTTGACAATTGATAAAATTGCGCGTATGCAATGCACTGGACATGGTCTTGCATTTTGCGCCATTACTTTGCCTGACAAAGACCTCATCTCAACAATTGTTTCAAGAAATTTCTCAACCAAAAGCACTTTTGCAGCACGATTTCTTGGGTCCTACCGGTAGGACCCGTGGTCCTACCGGTAGGACGGCATGCAAGCTATCATTAAGAATCTAGGGGTGCTGGAATCTGGGAGGGGGTGTCTAAAGCTCCATATACATGTAGAAGATGTGTACAATACTTATGGTAACACTACAGTGCATTTCAAAACTATAGACGCGTAGGGTTTTCGAAATATTTCAAATTTGGCTGGAACTTTTTGAGAATAGTTTTCGGAATATTGCTCAGGATCGTAATACTATAATCTACAACATAAAAGCTTACAGGATCACCATACCAAGCGTATACAAACATAAACTTATCCTTTCAAGCAAGAGTACAATCATAGTACATAGCTTCACGTGCTCTTGTGCCAAAGCACATGGTCTTATGCCTTTAAAAGGAAGAGGTTATTTATGCCTTAAAGGGAAGAGAGTATTTATGCCTAAAAAGGGAAAAGGGTGTTATGCCTTAAAGAGAAAAGGGTGTTATGCCTCAGGCTGTACTCACACTACTTGAAAGGTTGACGCGAATGTCGCGTTCAAAACTGGACAAAAGTACTTGAAAAAGCCTTTCCAAGCACACTGCACTCCAGTGACGACTTGAAACATTCTTGTCAGCAAATTACCATGGAGAAACATGATTGTCATGTGGTAGTTTTGGAAATCCAGAGGCACGTGTCTTCAATTTTTTTGCGCTCGATCAACTTATTTGAAATTTTCAGTTCATGAGAAAATAGAAACAGTAATATCTTGCTTGGATCATGGAGTTCATTCGCCATGCCTCGCGAAGAAGTAGCACATCGTCGACGTCGACGGATGAAGAAGTTTCTCTCCACAGCTCGATGAACTTCTTCTCCAAATCGTCAGAAAACACTACGCGAGGCATAATGTTGGGACAAAAGCAATGGTACAAAAGAAATGCGACAGAAACGGCAATCAAAAACAACGGGAAGCTACTGGAAGAAAGAAGACGGAAAATACTCGGAAAAACACCAAAGAATTCAGAAATGACAGGCAAAAAAAGGAAACTACAAGTATATGTACAAGAGCAGTACGACCATGAGGAAACAAAGCATGAAAAATATTCTGGAGCCTTTCAACGTACAATAGTACTCCGGCCTCCTGACCTCACACAGCTTTCCAAACGGCTTGAAAGCAAAAAACCTCGTAGAAGAGGGTTCCGTTTCCCCTGAAACCTTTCAAGTGGCTTTCAAGGGCTTTTTTCATTTTCGCAACCGTCACCGTGGCAACATTCACACGTAAGTCACTTGTATGCGGTTTTTCAAATAGTGTGAGTACAGCCTAAAAGAGAAAAGAGAATTTATGCCTAAAAGGGAAAAGGGTGTTATGCCTAAAAGGGGTATTTTATGCCTTAAAAGGGTAAATATGCCTAAAACTAAGGGCATGTTCGATTGGTAGGATCGGGATCCCGATCCACCGGATCCAAATGTGACCTTTGTGCGTATATGGCGGGTAAAAATCATTTTTGTACACATTGTGGTACGCACACATGGATGGAGATAGAGCTTGTTGACTTTTTGTACGACGCACGCGATGAGTATGACGTTCACCTTTTTGGGTGCCTTGTGAGCGCCATTTTCAACATGGCAACAGTCAAGGTCCAAGATAAAGTGTTCAGTTGAATCTGAAGGATCCGAGGGATCCGAGATCTGGATCCCGATCCCGATCCTTACCAATCGAACATGCCCTAATACAACTTGCTACATAACTCCCCTCCTTCTTCAGTCATGTCCTCATGACTTAAAAACAAAAACAACAAAAATGATCTTTTAAAGACTTACCGTATTTCCTCGATTAATAGACCTGGTCTTTTTTTTTTTGAAGAGGGTTGGACCCCCGGTCTCTTATTTGGGCATGGTTCATTATTTGAGCACGGTCCACTATATTTTCTAGGGGTGAAACGGTTCCATGTTTTTCATGTTCGGGTACCCGAATGCCAGCATTGTTTCCCACGGTTCGGGTATCGGTTCCATGCACTCTTTTCTCCAGACCGACAAAATGCATTCGCGACAATTATTTTTTAGAAAAAACCATTTTTACGAGCAAGAATGAGACATCGGAGAGTCCAAGTGCGAAGAAGATAATGACCAGAGAACTCTTTGGAAGAGTGGGGATCGTTAGGTAAGACATTTAAAATCTTGAGTAGACGACGTGTACATGTATTTGTACAAGAACAAGATTTTTCGAGTTTCGGTTCGAAATTTGACGAAACGGGTACCCGATTCTTTTCAGCTGGCGGTTCCAAAACCGGTTCCTTACCCGAACCGTTTCACCCCTAATAATTTCCCGGACTGTGCTCAAATAATGAAAGAAAGCACTAGCCACTACAAAAATTGTAGTTGCGCAACCTAAAATCGCGTCCTTTTTTGATCCACCACATGCTTTCTTAGTGCGCATGCGCAAAGCGATGAACTCAAATAAGAGACCGGGTCTCTTATTCGGGCATGGTCTACTATTTTTCCGTGAGGCCTCTAGGAGGGTCTACTATTCGAGCACGGTCTATTATTCGAGCATGGTCCATTAATCGAGGAAATACGGTATGTTTTCCTACTTAAAACAAGATAAAAGGAGCTTTTCTGGCACAACAGGATTTTCATGCGGATTCCATTATTCAACCCATGTGAACACCATGTGCACTGCCGTACATTATTACCAGTGTGGGACATTTGGGCTATTACATTTCCATTAATAATTATCGAGCATATTCATTCAACCAAAGGGGAGGGCGGCGATTGTGCGGAGCACGAGCTGCTGCTGCTGCTGCGGGAGCTGCTGGAACTGCTGGGCTTTCGTCGTCAGGGAATGGGGTGAAGGGAGAGTGTGACAAGGGAGGTGCACTCTGTGCCAACGGCTGCACAGTGGGCGGTTGATTTTCTGTGGGCAAAGCGGGACCAGTTAAGAAGCACTTCTTCAATCGATTAAAGTGTACACGCGTAGAGGAACCGGTGTGATCAACTCGGACGAGGTCGTACACAGGATGGCGGTTGCTGCGAGCCTAAAACTGCACGGCCTGATGTTGTTTTGTTAGAGGCTTGTTGACAATCCGTACAACATTGTATATATGTACGTACAGACGCAGTTGTTGTCCCTGCCCTTCTGGAGGGTTTGTGCCCCTTTGGCACGTGTGTGCGGACCGCGCGCGGACTGCGCCGGTTGCGCATGCTTGCATGATTATCGTACATGTTCTTGTTGTTGTGCGCATGCTTGCATACTTATCGTACGCATTCTGGTTGTTTTGGGTGCCTTCTTCTTGAGACTCTCTTTGGAGCAACAACAATAATCTGTTCTCTGAGTGTGGCATCCGTGTGATATGAGATATCGAGAGTAATCAGAAGGGCTATCGTGCGAGGCAATAAAACCCCCCGACGACAATTGGCGCCCAACGTGGGGCTCGAACCCACGACCCTGAGATTAAGAGTCTAATGCTCTACCGACTGACATCCCAAACCAAAAGAAGCGTTGCTTACACTTGGCGATGGTTTTGTCGACTCCGCCGTGGCTTCCCCCAGGAAGGTCGTGTAGAGAAGATATGGCTGTGTTTACTAAGTCACCGGGCACAACTAGAAGTAGGTGATCTACGCCGTCGACGTCCTTCTGCCGCCATAGAAGTCCATCGGAGACCTGGAAGGTGTGTAGCTCAGCAGCAAATCGCCGGGTGGCGTTGGAAACACCTACTAGTTGGTTCTCTGGCGGCCGGACAAGAGATCCAGTCCCATTGTCGTACCAAGACAACACTTTCTGAATCTCAGAATCAGCGGACTGGGCGGTCCGTACATCAAACTCGATAAGAGCGGAAAATCAGGTTGAACAGTGATCTGGGGTAAGATCGCAGAGGCCAAATCGATGTCGTCATGTGTGACTACCTCAACCTCATCAGTCGCAATGTCAGCTTCGACAGGATAGCGGGATAATGCATCTGCATTGGCATGTTGCAACCCAGCACGATGAAGGATCGTGAAGTCATACTCGGACAGCTTCTCTAACCATCGTGCTCTACGACCTCGAGGTTCCGGCATTTTCATCAATTCTTTCAAGGCTGCGTGGTCTGTACGGATTTGAAAACGCTTTCCTAGCAAGTAGTGGCGATACTGATCAATGAACGTAAAACAGGCCAAGAGTTCACGATCGTAAGTGCTGTAATTCCTCTGCGCTTTGTTGAACACTTTGCTGGCATAAGCAATAACCGCGTCCTGACCGCCCTGCTGCTGGCTAAGAACTGCTCCCATACCACAACTACTTGCATCTCAGTACGAATCCTCAACTGGCTGCGAGTAACTCTTCGAGTTGGTGCCCCTGGCATTGCTTTAACAACTCTGCACCTCTTTGCTTTTCCGACTTGGGCTGGCCCAAGCCCAGCACATGCCGTCGATGCAGGAGTCGATTGTGCCGCCGCGCCAGACGAAACCTTGGACTGGGACAATGCTTCACGTGACCCAAACTCAGTAGACGCACATTTAGGAGGACGACCACGTCGAGGGCGAGAATCACGTGCGTGTACCGGGACTAACCTCAAGGGTACGTGCTGACGGATTCGTGCGCCAAGGTGCTGAACAGTTCTGCAAACATACCGACTACCACAGTATCGGCATTGAAAAAGTAGATGAGAATACTTGTGGATCTTTGCTTTTGCTGTAGCTCTATAAATTCCTGTATTTTGACAATTTTCCATTATTCCCTGTACTTACCCATGATGAGAAGGGAGCGAAAACGTTCGGTTACCAAATTGGCTTACTTGACTGTGTGGATTGCGTCGGTGCTGTCACCTTTTCTTTCGAAATTGGATACGCCTCCAAATTTTGTTCCTTACAATATTATTATCGATTTTGGTAAACCTTCATGACTTTGTTGTAGTGTGGCGATGACAGCAGAATTTGTTCTCTTTATAGCTATTATAAAATTGTTGTCTCCGCGTCGATTATTTATATATCCAATATTTTCCTATTATTATTTTTTCGGCAACGCAGATGATGATGATATTCTCTTCACAGAAGTACTATTCCATATGAAAAATACATGTACAAGTCCGGAGTGTTGTCGAGGGGAGAGAATTTAAGTTTAAGATAGGCCGCGGTGTATAGTGCACATACCTTTAAATTTTGATGCATACATGGCACTGTGACGCCGAGACCCATGGTCGGCAGAGTCCATGTATTTCGTCAGCACAGCTATTAACTGGCATTGTGGATAGCGCTTACCCAGTCCAATGTACATGTACTTTTTGTCTTTCAACATGATTTGTAGGTTTGTGTTCTCCTTAAAAAAATAAAAAAATAAAACTACGTTGTGAATGACGGCCAAGCAGCTGACACTAAGGAAACACACACACACACACACACACACACACACACACACACACACACACACACACACACACACACACACACACGCATACACGTGTCCATAGCATGGAGGTGATTGCATGGCCGTTTGCTGTATGCACCGCTTCAGTGAAGCATGTGCACGCAGGGTGCGTTCGATTACTGCCACGAATCGATTCGTGAATGGAATCTCGCCGTTTGATTTCATGCCATGAGCCCTGGAATCGGTTCGGAATGCACTCGCCCTGTTCACACAGATTGATGTGAATGGCTAGGGGCGATTCATGAATGGATTCAACATCGATTCGCGGCGGGCATAATCGAACGCACTCACTGAAGCTTGAGTTCGGAGCAAACGTCCGTAACATGGCCAAACCCATGCTTCAGGCAGACAGACATCTTTATAACCTTCTACATGATTTTAATCATTTTATACATACATTTTCATTTACTCTTCATCATTTTGTCGGAACTAGGTCTCCGGAACTGGTGAGAAGGCAGAAATGCCTGTTACTTGGTGAAGTAAAATAAATTAAACAAACAAACAAACACCTGGCAAAGCCGTACCTGGTCCTGAGGACGCTGTTGCCTGCGCTGTGTCAGACGGCACCGTACTGGGGAAGTTTCCGCTGGACGCTTCAGTCGTCTCCGCCTGCGTTGGGTCAGGCATCTGCGTGGGAGTGGTCGGAGCCGGAGTCGTCGGGGCAATGGGAGGATCTGCAGGCGGACAGTGAAAACATATCGCACACCATCATCTGCAGTAAGACGGCGCTCGGATCTGATTCATCAGACCTTGCATTACGTAGCTGAGATTCACTGTCACAGTGCATCACATGCCTGATTCTCTGCTCTTAGCATCTACTAGTAGTTCTGTCGCAATGAGTATCATGTGACACTCCGAGGGCTGTACACACGCGCGTTGGCGCGCTTTTTGGGTTGTCTTCACATGCAGAAGAGCTGTTGCTTTGAGCTGTGCTTTTGGACAGAAGAAGTTAGTTTACCAGAAAAGCCGTCCGTCTTTCGTGACCGTCACATGAGTGTGAACAGACGAGAAGAAAACGAATGTGACGCACTTCATGCCTCGAGCCTTTGTTGCCGTACACATTCACAGATATCTGCACAGAGAACATGAGGCTCACCAATAGGATTGGCACTAGTAATCATTCACTTGCATGCAGGGGCGTCGCACACGGTACGGTCACTACGGTATTGACCGTACCACTTTTTGCCCCAGATACCCCGTGAATCAACAAAATACACTGATCTGGGATGTAAAATTCCAAATATTTCGGCTCCGCCACCCCTCCTCCACGAGTAAATTGTACTTCAGATGGCCGACCGTACCACACTAAAATACCTTCCGACGCCCCTGCTTGCATGCCATATCCATGTTACTACATGCAAACTCTGTGCATGCGTGTTAAGCACAATGTACTGGAGACCAACACTTCGGTTGGTTTGCACTCACACAAAATCACTCGTATGCTCACAATCTACGCTAGCAAGGCATGTTCGGCGGACCTACCGACAATATTGACGCCGAATCGCTCGGTCGCTGGCCCGTTTGTGCACAGATACTCGCAGGCGTGTGCAAACCGTGCCACCGGCACTCCCAGTACGTACAGCGTGGCTGATCTGTCGGAGAGATACAGCGAGTGCAGGTGGATACTCCCGTTGGCAACGGCCGCGCTGAACCACGTCACGCAGCTGCCCGTGACGTTCCAGGCCACGGGACGATCCGGCGCTAAGCAGGCCAGAGTGAAGCTGCTACCGTTGGTGACATTCCGCAGATGACTGCCGATGCGGGTTAAGTCCTCACTACCTGCACACAGCAGCAAAAACATACATTCACGGTTCGGAGTTTTCCGCATCCGCAGGAACTCCACCACCCTACCCTGTATGGTTCACAGCGGCAACATCGTGCCAAGCGCTAGGGAGAAGAGGCAATGAGGTGCCGCTGTGCCAAGACTGTCACGAAACAAGGGAATTTCACAAATGGCGGTACTGCGAGGTCTGCTTTCGTTTCACGAATATTCGTGTATAGTGCTGCAGCGCTGCCGACAGTGCTGTTTGCAAGACGTGTTTAACATGAGTAGAGGGCTGGTTGGTGGGCGTGATCTACAGTGGCATATTCTCATTCCACTAAAAGCTCAAGTACAGAAACATATATTGTACAGCCTACGCCTTGAAAAACCCACCCCTTACCCCGTCAAGGCCGGAGCAGATGGTATCCTCTGAACTTTCTTTCGAAATTTAGAGCCCAAATCAGTGCCTTTTAACCCTTTCGCTGCTGGCCTAGTTTTCCCCCTGCCGGCTAAGCTTTCAGCGCACTTGCCTTCATTTCAGGCCCTGCATGCACGTCGCCGAGCAAAATCTTTCGCCATGTTTGCATCTATTGATGTATTTCCACGATCTATGGCTTGTTGGAAAGGCCTGAGCCAAGCGAAGACTCTCTGGCAGTTCTCAGCTCCATAAGCATGCCAGCGTCACATCTATGCAGACCATCTGGTAAAAGGAGAGCGATCGCTCTCGCGCGCCTTCGCTCTCCTTATTTTCTTTTAGGGCGCACTTTTCGTCGCGCGCCTTGAGAATTTCGAGCGCATCCGCATCACTATGAAGTTCTGAAAACACTCAATATTTCGTAACTCGGCTTTCCCTGAGCGGAATCGAGTAATCGAAAGGACTATTCGCATTAGAAAGATCTCAGCTGTCGGCTTCAACAAATCGGAAGTCAATCCGAGGTCCAATAGTGGAGTTACGGCACTCGCAAGGTATTTTACGTACCGTTGCAAATTTTCACTTCCGCACTTGGGCGGCAATCATAGATTCATAGTATTTTTGCATAAAGCCTAGGATTTCCCTCTGTTGCGTGACAGTGCGGGCATGCATAGACCTGTGTGACGCCAGGCACAGGTCTTTAGCGGTCAGCTACGGAAGGAAGGAGCGCTCTACGATGAATACTATTACTACAAAATACCATGGATCTTAGCGAATTGTCTCAATTTCCCATTGCGTGTGCCTGTCCCTGATGAAGGGAAACTAAAGCTGTGGTCCGAACAGCTTTCATTTGTAGTGCGTACAGCGATTTTCCAGAACGAATTTGGCAGCTATTGGGTATTGAATCCGATTGGGGTATGGCAAGATATTGAAAAAAAAAACCGTATTGTGCTCGCCTTGGATAGATTAGGCGAGCGACTTTTTTTGGGGGGGGGGGGGCGGGGGGGGGGGGGGGGGAGGGGGGGGGGAACTGCTCTCCCACCACTCTCCTTGAGAGGATAGCGAGAGTGATTGTTCACTCTCCTGGATTTTTCTTACACGAAGGTCTGTCTATGTGCTCTAGAAGAAGCCCTTACATGTCCAAGAATCGCTAAACAACTTCATAATACATTTTCGCTCGCCATCTCTCTCAAACTAAACCAAACTTCACGATTCAAACTGCGCTGCAAAGCTGAGATCCAAGCGATTTGTTTGATGCCCCACACACATGCGCTGTAGCAAAGGGAAATCTCCTAAAAAAAAGCGAGTCGCGAGCAAAAAGTTTGAACTGATGGCCAGAAAGCGTATTTTTGATTTTTTGCAATTCTATTCGTCATCGCTCACTCAAATCTAGTCCTCTCGCAACGCACTTTATATCACTGGAAAGCTGAGCTCAATACCTTTCTAACGGTATATCGTTTGTGAAAATCGGCCGCCGTTGACATGAGTTACGACAGTTTGTACAGTGACATATGCACTTGGTACTATTGCGTGGGCCGTGGAGCGAGATATCTCATCATCCGCCGTTCAGGCACACTTTACAGAGCGAGATATCTCGTCATTAGCACTGAAAGGGTTAATGATTCACAAGGTATCCGAGGCAAGGAGTGGTACGGTCAATACCGTTGCGACTGTAGCGTGTCTGGCGCTCCTGCTACCATCAGCGTTAACTTGGAGTCTCACAACCAATAACAAGAGGATGAAAAAAGTTTTAATAGTGCGTGAACGTGAATGTCGGAGTTAAAACCCTGTTTCTCATCCTCATATTATTGGTTAGACTAGCTCTGTCTTTCGAAAGAGAGCAGCACTCCATTGGACAGCCTGGAACCTCTCTGTTTTATACTCAGGGTCAAACGGGTGTACCTTTAACTAACGAACGGGTAATTTTCTTAACGGGCGGGTTAACGGGTACCCTTTAGCAGCCATGTTTAATTTTTTGCGCAATTTTCACATAAATCAATATTTTAATTCATCTGTTCTCGGCTTGCATTTTGATATCACATTGTGTCTCCACAATGATAACAGGTTAGGAAGCTTAGATGCTGAATTCATTCGCAAACAAAACCCAGATTTACGCATTCAGAAAGAGAAAAAAGGCACCAAACTCAGACTGCTTGTTGGAATACGAGAAGACAAGCTCTTGCCTCAGAAGAGCTAGCAGTATTCCCGAGGCGCCAAGCCTCCCTATCAGGCTGCAGATCTTCAGATTGTGTCGACGATTTCGAAACACCTTCCCAGAATTGAAAGCTTCCCTACTCGACAAGCAGGCTAACCTTGCATGTACAGTGATATAGCTGCACGCCAGGCGAGTAGCCCCCCTAGGTTCAGCATGCACATAATGACCATGAATGACATACACCAGCCATCCTTCACACATGCGGCCATGCCCCCCCCCCCCCCCCCCCAGGGGATCAGCTACGCCCCGAGTCACACGTTGCCATGGCGGGCACTCTTGGCACTATGTACCGTCAAAAGTGCTTCACAACAGCATGCCCATCTTATCCCTATAATATGTTGAGGGTAGGAAAGTGCCGAAATGTTGTGTAGTAGCGGAACTGGTTCGGATGTGCAGCACTGTGGGAATGGGCGTGTCCACCCAAATTCCCTATTCCGAGATGAAGCTGCAGGAAGCCTCAACCCTTCTTCAGACATGGCCCTCCAGTCTGTTCCGCCTAAAGATGCCTGACTGCACCAGGAATGGGGGTACTAGTGTAGAAAAAGTGGATTGTTACCTTGGCCGTCTGGAGCTTGGGTTGGCGGAGGCGTACCTGAAATGACCATACAAACGTACATGTACAAAGGACACGTATACGCGATGAGTCGACGAGGAGACAACAGTTTTTTAAAACTGCTATGAACATCATCAAGGAACGATGTGTTGTCCCTAAGAATGTTTATATTCTTTGTTCAGCACTCAGTGATGTGCTCTAGCTGATGACCATCACAAGAAAACGTTCCTAAGTTAGATACAAGATATCGCTTCTTGATGATATTACTATGAGACTCTCTATAGAAAATTCGATTTGTTTAGACAAAATTCGATTTCGTTCCTATTTAAATATTTGTTTCACCCTTAGAAATAATTCAGCATTTTGAGAGAATATTCGTTATTCGTTCGTTACGGGTATTCGTTCGTGTGTGAAATAGAATATTCCTTGCAGCCCTAGGAGAAGATGCAGGATACCATAGAATCACCGTGCACTTTATCTTGTCCATTGCAACATGTACCGTAAAGTACAACCCAGAGCGCCCCGTCTCGCGAGAGCGCCCCACCTTGATTTTACAGCCAGGGAAAGGAAAATCGTATGGCACAGTCCCACGAAGTTTGTACGGTGTGAGAACCTTAGTGTACTAAGGTCACACTAAGCAGGTTTTTGTGTGGAGCTTGTGTACGCTGGAAGGTATGGATTGTCTGCAGAACATGCAATATGTGTACAAAGTTCGTGTCGTATGACCTACAGACAGGAGACCACCTCCACAATACGACAGCGAAAGGACGAGATGGTGGGGCGCTCTGGCGGTACTTTACGTTACACACACTCGAGAACAGTGGAGAAGGAGAAACAGGAGGGGAAGACGAGGGGAGGGCGACGGGAGGGCGAGGGCGCTGATGACAAAGAGGATGAGGAGAGAAAGAGAGAGGGAGGGGGGGGGGGGATTTCCATTTATAAAGACAGGTAGGTCTGAAAATGATGACGGAGACCTCTACAACAGGTTATTTATGCCTAAAACCAGGCCCATGACTTAACAACCACGTTGTCAGTCTAGACATTTTGTAATGAGATGAAAGCAGAAATGATCGGAAATAAATTCACGGTTAGCGTTAGACTTGGCTGGAGGACGAGTTTTGCGCATCCGCAGGGACACAACCACCCTCTGTGGATCAAAGCGCAGGTGCAGCTCCTAAGGGTGCGTCCACACTCACGGGACGGGCTGGCGGGACGGGATGGTTGTCATGATAGCAGGGTCACGGGATCCCGAAACTAGGTCGTGTGATCCACCCGCCAGCTTCCCGCCAACGTTACTTTCACTGTTCTGCTGCTGTACCGACACTTGAAACACGTGAAAGAATCTTCTTTGCTTTTCCACAACCTCCAATGCGGACACTAAACCGTCATGTCCACGTACATTCTACAAAACGTAGCGCGAACAAACTGCTATGCCTGCTGTGTGTTTTCCATGGACTGTGTTGCTACTTCTACCCATGGCGTGTTTGTATGACTCTTCGCTTCTAACAAAACGTGTTGAGTGCCATACAAATCATGTGCTGAGTCTGCTGAGGTCTTCTGACGTAATGCTGCATAATGGTAGGTACGAAGCGGAGTTGCCCTTGACTAGAAGTTTCATTGCTAAATGGCCAATCATCAGACAAAATAGTGAACTGCAGTAGTGCAATACCTACTACTTCCTGGTCTGAACAAGGTTTGCTACTGTGCGCGATGTGCAGAGTTGCACATGTGTTGCGGATTTCGTCTCGTATTGATTTACGCATGTCGTTGTATTTGGTTCTTGTCTGGTGGAGTCCAGTGTCTGGTGTCATATATGGTCTAGGTGTACGCGTGAGTATGGTGTGATGTGTGACGTTTATGGTATGTGGTGCATGCAAGAGTACGCGTTGTCAGAGTGTGAGGAGGTGCTTCCGTCTGTGTGAGAGTGACTGTCAAGTGAATGCTGTACATGCGCAGTGCTAGTTTGGTCTGGGAATGAGAGTCATGTGTGATTCGTCCGTGGTCTGGTTGTCTTGGTCTTGGTCATGTGTTCTGTACGTATTAGTCCCTGATTGGTCGTCCCGATTTGTCGTCGCAATATTACTGCTTGTTCTTGTTGTTTTCTTTGAGTCTTTTCCCGGGAGTCTTCCCGTTGTCCTTTTTGTCGTCTCCAAGTTTGTCTCTCTCCTCCTGCGCCCTCGTCATTTCTTGGTATAATATAAGTATTGAAGATACAATCAAGAGTTTGCGTTGTTGTGTGGCGGGGGCCAGGGGGAGAAGCCTTCTTCACATGTGATCAGCGGTCCGCGTATTACGGTCTCTCTCGAACCAGCTGCAGACCACGATCGAAATTTTTGAGGGGGGTGCTTTGGTCTATGCCCCTGGGAGGTGAGTAGATCAGACCCACCACAAAGAATTAAAAAGAAAGAATGAAATGAAAGCCTGCTCACAAACCCGCGCCTGGAGAGAGAGAGAGAGAGAGAGAGAGAGAGAGAGAGAGAGAGAGAGAGAGATAGAGAGTCTGTGTGTGTGTGTGTGTGTGTGTGTGTGTGTGTGTGTGTGTGTGTGTGTGTGTGTGTGTGTGTGTGTGTGTGTGTGTGTGTGTGTGTGTGTGCGTCAATCCTTTTTCTGCACCTTGTCCTCACCCACTTACTGAGGTGTGGTGAGCCCATAAGTGGGATCATTTTCAAGTCCACCCAGAGTTTTGGGGATTTCAGGGGTGTCGGCCGTTGGGCGGTTCAATAGCCAATTGAGTTATCTTTCCAAGATTGCTTTTGGGTCTCTCTCCCCTCTCCCGGGGAGACCCACATGACAAGTTTTGGCAATGAGCACCAAGTACAAGTACAAGTACAAGTGTGTGTGTGTGTGTGTGTGTGTGTGTGAGAGAGAGAGAGAGAGAGAGAGAGACATGCACCCCCACATTCACGAACGCTTGCACATGCATATGCATATGCACACACGCGTGCACGCGCACGCACGCACACACGCACACATACATCCCCCAACACACACACACACACACAACACACGTATACACACACATTATACACGCACACACACACACACACACACACACACACACACACACACACACACACACACACACATACACACATACACACACGCACAGGCACGCACATCCCCTCCCCTCCCCCCCCCCCCCAACATAGATACAAACACAGATAATGATATGTACATACACACATAACGCTACACACTCACCCACGGTGACTGTGATATTCTCTGCTGTACCAGGTGTTGTTCCCCTTGTGGTATTCAGCAAGCTCAGAAAACTACAGCTGAGTGTACACGACTGGGTCATACTACGCAGGTGAAGCACGCTGAATGAAGTCTGAATTTCCGCTGAAGAGAACGTGTGAATATCGGCCTTACTAGCAATAAACTGGGGCTGGCATGCTTGCAGCGTTGTCCAGCGGATTGGTGGCGCATCTAGGGAGTTTGCGCGACAGCCAATCGTCACGTCTCCGTTTGACGCCACCGTCACATTCTTGCTGGAGACAATCAGATCAATGTCGGCTGGCGAGAAAAAAAGGCGGACAGAAAGAGGAGGGATCAAACCGAGTGTCAGATCACAAGCCAATCTGTGTGGGAGACTACAAATTCCACTTGGTACTGCTCCATGTACACGTGGGCGACGAGAAAACAAAAAAAGGTAACGCCAAGAGTACATAACCCCCCAGAGTGTGCAACGCCGATCCAGCTCTGCGTAGGGTCTTGGTCGAGCGGAATCGGATCTTCTGATGTCATGCGTACACTTCAGACCAGCGCAAGGCCGGTCTCGGGGCAGGGCACCATTGTTTTTGATCCAAGAGTACCCGCGACTCCCCGGGTTCCCCTCAGATGTGTACGGTATTATGACGCAAAGATCCGATTCCGCTCGACCAAGACCCTATGCAGAGCTGGATCAGGCGTTGCACACTCTGGGGGGTTATGTACTCTTGGTAACGCTGAAAGTTAATGAATGGACAGTAGTAGCTCACTGCATAGTAGTAGTAGTAGTAGTGCATAAATGTCTAAAACATTCAAGAGACGCATAGACAGTTATGGAACTTCACTCCTCAACTCCAAAATGGTCTCTTTACTGCGATTCGAATTTATATCACACCAAATTGTCGGGAAGAAATCATTCTGGAGTTGAGGAGGCGAGCGGTGAAGCTGAGGAGCGAAGTTTCATAAATGTGGAAGTGGCTGCGCTGGAGTTGGCGGACAATTCGACGCCTATAGCCTGTCTATGCATGAGTGCTTACAGAAGCCACCGGAATCAGGAGGTCCACCTCCATCGCCGCCGCCGCCATCGGGTAGCACCATACCTGAAGGTGTTTGTGTGTTTGATGAAAAAAAACCGACAGGCGTACCCGTGAATTACACATGAACATACATGTACGTGCACGTGCACACACACACACACACACACACACACACACACACAAACAAACACACACAAACAAACACACAAACACACGCGTGCGCTCATGCGCAAGTGCACAAAAGCATGCGTACACACAGGTGCACATGTACAGCAAGCACGCAGTCGTCACACACATACACACAGAGAGACGAACACACATGCACACACGTTGCAAGCAGACACACACACACACCCACATATTATATACACTGTGGTGCCTCCTTTGCACCATGGCTGGTAGCTCGGCCTATTTAGCTCGTAGCTGTACTGATGAGGCCTTTATGGCCGAAACAGCTTGCTGTCTACAGCATTGGGCACACACATATATATATAAAGGGACAGTGAGTTGGTTCAGGAGAGAGACTGTCTGGATCCAGGAGAAAGGTAAATTTTGATAAACAACAGTACACATTGGCCGAAAGTACGGCACACTTACTTGTGACAGCTCCTGAAGTATTAGCTGAAAAGCCAATGCAGACGGAGATATGAGCGCGTGCACAAACATGTGCATGAACACACACACACAGAAACACACACGAGCGTGCGCGCACGCATCCACGCGGGCAGCCACAAATGGGAAAACACAGACACGCAGTGGTTTATTTTTCACCTAGCTGTGCGTTTGTGAAACCGTACCCTGAACGATATGGTCAACATGGCTATATCAGTTGTAGATTGCTGTGAAAACTGTCCAAGGCAACCACCACTCATGGTAGCCTAGCATGTGTGTGTGTGTGTGTGTGTGTGTGTGTGCGCGTGCGTGCATGCGTGTGTGTGTGTGTGTGTGTGTGTGTGTGTGTGTGTGTGTGTGTGTGTGTGTGTGTGTGTGTGTGTGTGTGTGTGTGTGTGTGTGTGTTAGGGATTCACTGGCCAGAAAAACCACTTCATAGCTGTGTGGTGTAGACCAGGCTGAATAGTGGCGGTCAATTCTTCAGCCTTGCAAGCTGTTGAATGGTGCAATCCCAGCACAAGCTGCTATGGCTTCTGCTGTAGCATCGCTATCATCGCCTCTGGCGATGGGCGTCAAATGGTCACATGGTGTGTTTGGTGTCCATTGAGCTATGAAGCCGAGACCTCTGGCCGGCTGAGCTTAATGGGCCCCACCACCACACTCCATTATTCACCCCAGTGTCTGGAGATCATGTGGATTTTGTAGAGAGAAAGAAAAATGTGATCCTCGTGTCCCTGTGGCCTCCTTGTCCAGGGTAACTTGACTGGAAATGACATCTGTCTAGATTAAACGGCCGCAAGGTGGTCGCCTTGTCAGAGTGGTCGCCTTGACAGGTTTTTTCTGCACAAGTCGGTGACCCGTGATCTGTGCACACGGGCGCTATGCTAGAAACTTGCACGGCGAGCACGTCCAGAAATATTATACGCTCACACTCACACCCTTCTGAACAGGCCCGTCGGAACCGGTCTGGTTGGTCAGGTTATTACCGGACCAACGTTTTGGCCACCAACATGTGTTTAGCGCTGAGGAGGGCATATGTATCCAACATTTCGATACCCAAAGCATGAAAGGCCTTAATGCTACCGGACCAATCAAAAACTGCTTCCAGCGGCCCTAGCCTCATAAACAAACCTGAATAATGGTTAGGTTGGGACTCGGAACTACACGCAAGAAACCAATTATACTAGCAGGCATAGAACACGCATATATTGAGACCTGGAAGGCACAGACAATGCTTGCAGTAGCACCACAATTCCACCGGCAACACTCTACAACACAAAACAACATCTAACAAGGGCACAATCGGGTTACCTAAGATAACAAAGTCATGACAGAAGTTGCCTACAAGGAGAACACAGTCCACTCCACTTATAACGTATAGCGAATCCCGTGTTATAGCGAACCGTTGTCCGTGTCCCAGTTTGAACCTACCGTGTAAGTGAATTTCTGTTATAACGAACTTCGCCTATAAAGAACTAATTCTCATGCTCAATGGTGTTCGTTGTACCAGTTAACTACAAGTACAACACAGTCCACTCCACTTATAACGAACTCACATATAGCAAATTCCGTGATATAGCGAACCGTTGTCCATGCCCCAGTTTGAACCCACAGTGTACGTGCATTTCTTTTATAATGAACTTTGGCTATAAAGAACTAATTTTCATGCTCAATGGTGTTCGTTATATCAGGAGTCGACTAACAAAGTCATGACAGAAGTTAACTACAAGTGAAACACAGTCTACTCCACTTATAACGAACTCTCATATAGCGAATTTGGGGATATAGCGAACCGTTGTCCATGTCCCAGTTTTAATACTGTGTACGCGCATTTCTGTTATAACAAACTTTGGCTATAAAGAACTAATTTTCATGCACAATGGTGTTCGTTATATCAGGAGTCGACTAACAAAATCATGACAGAAGTTAACTACAAGTACAACACAGTCCCACTCCACTTATAACGAACTCTCATAATGGCGAATTCGGTGATATAGCGAACCGTTGTCCGTGTCCCAGTTTGAACCTACCGTGGAAGTGAATTTCTGTTACAACAAACTTCGGCTATAAAGAACTAATTTTCATGCTCAATGGTGTTCGTTATATCAGGAGTCGACTGTAATAGATATTAAAGAAAGAATACGCACTAACCGTCTGTATCTGCCAAAAGCAGTGTTGTGATCAGCATGACAACGCAAAACACAGTCTGGGAAAGCGGCGGCGATACCTGTGGAAAGCGGCACAAAATAAAAAAAGTCAACACACACACACACACCTGTCATGTGCTGTCCTGTAGAGCCACTGCCACAGGGGTCACGTGGGCCCCGGAGGGGCATCAGACACACATACACACAGTGTGTGTACACACACACACGCAAACAAACACCCCCCCCCCCATCACATCTCGTATAACACCCGTTTGTTTTCCTGGATTTCCGGTACGGTAATACATCCATGTTGAAAAGCGGCTCACATTTCCAAGCCTGCTACCTTCAAGAAGTCGTTCTCCCCTTGTAAACAATTATTCCGCCGATGCTTCGTCGATCAGATCCCCCCTTGACCTCTGTGGGAACACCCAAAATCTTAGATTTTTCCGGAGTCGAAACGTCGAAGGATTCGTCCAGATGCAACCAAATCCTGACTGCTGGACTGTGGTGTATGCCCCCTCGGATACACAAAACTACCGAGCTCCGAGGCATTGCAATCACATAGAGATACAGGATAAAGTATAATCCAAGGCTTCATTATAACCCCCTGGATCACGAACACATACGACTAATTTTCCCGCACAGCTCGCACTCGGCAAGAGTCGCTGCCACTCACCTGCGCTTGCATCTTCGACGCCGTGATAGTTCGCTGCTGAATCACGGACAGGATCCTTCACAGGACGCGGAGCTTACTACTACACCAACGTATTTTCAGTACAACGTGGATCCCGGACCGACAAGGCCACCTCCACTACTCAGGCTAGCCGTTCTTCCTTCTCCTCGCCCGTCCTTGCCGTACGCAATCCCTAAGTCGAGGCTAAGGACACTCTCCGTCTTCTCATAATGTGACGGAGGCTGTGGAAGAAATGCCGCAAGCCGGGCTAGATACTACTACTGGCATGTAGCGACGGTCTACTGACGACAAGAAGACACAATTTCACAAATGTTCGAATAACAGCTTCCCTGTTCAGCTTCACACTGCACACTGTTCCTGTGGATCTCTTGTGTCATGACATGTGGAATCGCCAGACTCCGAGTCCGACGTTCTGTTATGGCAGTTCTGCCTTTTCGACTTTCGAGTATCAGTTTCGTCTGCCTTTCCGCTGTGACTTTCTGATCGCGGTACGCATCGATGATACCAAACATGAACTAACTCGAACGTCGATCTAGACTTGACATCATCCCCTTTAGCTCTCCACACGTGACATGAGGGAAGCTGGGTCTTTTGATTATTTTTGGCGACGACTGACTCTGTCTGACTGTAGTCATGGTAGTTGGGGATCGCGGGAGACTCTTGCCGCTAGTCTTGGTCGCGGGGCCCGGCCTCCTCGGCCTCGCCACGGTAGATCTACGGCCTGTGTGGCGGTCTTCCATCCCGGTTGGCAGACTACGGACTGTAGCCTACTTGTAGTGGCGTAGTAGTGTAGGCGTCGTGAAAAACCTTGGCTTTGGCTCCACCCAGCTAATGTACCTACATAAAAAAAGTCATTACTACGGCTACAACACAGTGCTTACTACTGAGTGACTTCCCAGCTTCCGTCATGTCACGTGTAGAGCTAGAGGTGATGACGTCAGGGTAATTATGTACAGTAGGTAGGTCGACGTTCATATTTGGCATGCTATCATCGATGCGTACCGCGATCAGAAAGTCACAGCGGAAAGGCAGACGAAACACAGAACTGCCATAACAGAACGTCGGAGTCTGTCGATTCCACATGTCATGACACAAGAGATCCACAGGAACAGTGTGCAGTGCTGGTGTGAAGCTGAACAAGGAAGCTGTTGTTCGAACATTTGTGAAATTGTGTCTTCTTGTCGTCAGTAGACCGTCGCTACATGCCAGTAGTAGTATCTAGCCCGGCTTGCGGCATTTCTTCCACAGCCTCCGTCACATCATGAGAAGACGGAGAGGGTCCTTAGCCTCGACTTAGGGATTGCGTACGGCAAGGAGGCGAGGAGAAGGAAGAACGGCTAGCCTGAGTAGTGGGAGATGGCCGTGTCGTTCCGGGATCCACATACGTACTGAAAAGACATCAGTGTAGCAGTTTAGAAGCTCCGCGTCCTGTGAAGGATCCTGTCCATGCTTCATCAGCGAACTAACACAGCATCGAAGATGCCAGCGCAGGTGAGTGGCAGCGACTCTTGCCTTTGTGTCTCATGTGAAATGTGCGAGAATGTTGCTCGTAGAATCTATGTATTCTTGCAATCTTAGCCTAGGGCCAGCCTCTTTTACGGGCAAACAAAATACATACCATCCTAGGGGGGTATAATGAAGCCTTGGATCATTATACCGTATACTGTAACTCGGTATTATTGCGACGCATCGGAGCTCGGTAGTTGTATGTATCCGTGGGGGCGTATGTAGGGATTCCCACCCTAGCACAACTCCAAAACGCACACAAAGGGCGTAAATCCGTTGTTTTGACTGAAAGTGAGATCTTTGTGCCCCGTGGCACAACCCTCGTCACAGACACAAGCCGTTAGTCCTAATTTCTCTTGTTGGTTAGAAGGTGTTCTTTCTTGATCTGTCCCTGTTCTCGGGAGTTGTGTGTGATTATAGGAAAGCCGGCAGTGTGCAAAGTGAGCCGTACATGTATGGAAAAGTGTAGTATCGTCCTCTTTACGGAGGTGACACAGTGGGTGCCCAATCGGGCAAAGCACAAACGAAAAGGGTGCTGCGACTCGCGCGAGTCAGTGCTGTCATGCAGCAACATTCTCCCCCGCCCTGGTTAACAGAAACATGTACAAGGGTAAAGAAACTGAAGGGAAGGAAGCGAAGAACACTGTATCCAAAAACCTAGCAACCATCGCGTTATCCGAGTAGAAATAGAGGTGGATGGTCCATGGACGCACAAAACAAAAAAGGAAAACAAGAAAAAAGAGAGAAAAAAACAGCGCAGCTAGCTGCAGCTCAGAAGTGCGGGAGGCATGACAGCTCTACGACCGCACGTCCAGTACACAAATTTTCGCGGCGGGTCAACGAAAAACGCTACCAGATGTAGTCTTTACGTTGGCGACATCGCGGCCTGGGTTGACGCCTGAAATGACGGTGAGACATCTCCTGCCTACGTGATTCCTTGATGGCGCCCTTTAAGGATGGCGTGAAGTGCGGTCTTGATGGAATCAGCGAGCTGCTCCCAGGCTCCGGCCGTGTGAGGTGCCGCCGGTGGCTTGTACTGCCGTGCGTCTGAGTGTATCCACAGCAGCACCGTTCTGGAGTCCGTCCATAATACCACCAGTGAAATTGAGATACACGGCTGCTCCCGGACGGTACAGCATAGCCGCGAGGCGAGGACCGCGGCCTGGAGTTCGAAACGGTGTATCGAGGCCGGTTTCAGTGGAGCGACGCATGCCTTCGCTGCAACTAGGGACACTGCCAGCTGAGTGCCGTGGTCCGCTACTCTCAAATACGCAGGGGCGCCATATGCTTTCTCGCTTGCGTTGGCAAACACATGCAGCTGGATGTCGGTAGCGATTGCAATCAACCGTGTGTAGCACCGTGACACTTCTATGGTGGCCACCTGGTCTAGCTCTGCAGCCCAATCTGTCCATCGCAGTGCAAGAGATGCAGGGAGTTCATCATCCCAGCCTATGCCAGCTCTCCACACATCTTGGAGAAGCATGCGTGCGATGATGGAGTGGCAGGGCACCAGACCGAGTGGGTCAAAGACCGACATTGTGTGTCGCAGGACGCTTCGCTTCGTGACTGGTGCCTTTGGATCTGGCTTCGTGCCGCAGGAGAAGCCAAGACCGTCCTTCACAGGGTCCCATCGGAGACCCAGGGTTTTCTCGATGCGGAGGTCGTGGCTGTGGACGTTCACGATTCTTGGTGACCTCGGATCTGATGGAAGGCTCTCGAGGACCGGCGGAGAGTTGCTCACCCAGTTACGGATCACAAAGCCTCCCCCCTCGTGGACGTCCATCACCTCACGGATTAGTGCTACGGCTTCTTCTGTTGTTGGGGTGCTGTCGATATAGTTGTTGACTGGCTGGTGGGTGGCCTCTTCAGGTGACTGCTTCCAGGCACATCCCTGTTCCAAGTAGCTGTCGATCTTGCTCTGGCAGTCATGTGCAAGTGTGGCATCCTTCCGCAGGCGCCTCTCCAGCTGCTTGAGACGCTGGGCAGCCGTGGTCTTGCTTCGTGGAAGGGTGATGTCGTCCTCCTGCCCGAGTAGCCCCGTTTGCCACCTGCGCCCAGTGCGCGTGGTGATAGTGTCGAGCCGCTGGAGTGCGCGGTCATCAGCCCTGCTTTGGATTTCCGCGGGCTTGACTCCAAGGGAGTCGAGGTCGAACGACTGCTTGAGTACGTCATGGGGGTCGCTGTCGAGACCCCAGGTGGACAGAACCACGCCTTCGTCGATTCTGTGGCGGTCCGCACTCATTCCGCCATGAACTACCCACCCTAGCTTGGTCTGTGTAGCTACGGGTGCATTTGGTGGGCCCTCCGCGATCACCCGTGGTGCGATCAAGCTGTAATTGTCTTGTCCGATTAGGAGTCTGGGCTTGGCGCAAGACAACGTTGGTGGGTCAAGTCCCTCCAGGTGGGGGCAATTGGTCAACCGTTTAGGGTTGATTTAGTGTGTTCGTAGGTTGAACTTGGCATGAGTGTGGACGTTTGTTAAGGTATAGCTGTCCTGTCTCTGCCTGCCAGCTACGCTGAACGTTACTACCTTGGAGCTGGACTCCTGGTGCTGCTTGCCATCCGTCCATGACAGCCTTGGGGCCGAGTTGGTCCTGCAAGCCCAAGTTCCTCCGCTAGTTCGCTCTCAATCAAGGACACCGTTGAGCCTTCGTCCAGGAGTGCGTATATATCAGCCGCTGTGCTTCCGTTTCGTACCGTCACTGGAATCACCCTCAGCAGCACCCTTCCACTGTGTTCCGACACATGGGTTGCCGAGGTGTACATGTATGTCATCTCTGATGTGCGTTCTAGCGGTGCTACACTTCCGCGCCATCGCGGTGTAGTAGAGGATGGTGGGGTTTGCCACACGAGCAGGCTTTCTCCTCGCATACCCTCGCCAGGTGGCCTTCGCCAAGGCAGCAGAAGCACGGCTGTCTGTCACTAACGAACTGCCGGCGAGCGTTAAGTGGTTCCGTGGCTAGCTGCAAGCAGCTACTTGTGATGTGCCCCGCTTTGCTGCAGAAGAGGCAATATGGCTTACCAGTGGTGGCCTCCGCGACTGTGAACGTTTGGCCTGTGCGTGGAGTGGCATAAGTGGCGTCACATGGGATCGGCTGAGCGACTAGGCATGCAGCCTTGGCCCTCTGTTCAAGCCAGGCAGAGAAGGTGTCCAGGTGCGGGTCTATGCCGGTTTTCAGCGCATACTCTCCCCACTAGATCCGAAGCCCCCCAGACAGCTTGCCAACTAGCTCCTTGACCAATTGAGGGTTGTAGAGATGGCCGATGCACTTTGTGCTGCGCATAATGGCAACAAGGTTGCGGCACAAGGCGCTGATTTCAATCAATACCTCGATGGCCTCCTCCGACTTCATACCTCTCTGTGACTTCGTCTTCAGAATGAGATTCATGACAATCTGGTCCAGGCGGCCGAACCTCATCGTCAAGATGGAGATGAACTCCCCTACATTGTCGGGGAGAGTCATCATCCCCTGTATGACTTCCTTGGCTTTTCCGCGCAGCGCTTTTTGCAGCCGGCCAAGGTTCTCCCTGTTCGAGAAGCCGCACTCTCTGGGCGTGTGCTCCAGCGCGAATATAAATGCTGGCCACTCGTCAGTATGTCCAGAGAACTGAGGCAAGTCCTTGGCAGTGGACTGCCTTGCCATGAAATGGTGCGTGGTGAGATTCATGGGGTGTGACTGCCTTGCACTTGCTGGGGTAGGACGTGTGCCATTGGGCTCGTTCTCTGAAGCCCGCTCACCTTGGACTTGGTGGTCCAGTAACAGATCCTGGATTTGACCATTGGCTTCCTCCAGCGCTGCTCCCATGTCTCTCTCCGCGCGCTCAGCGAGCTGTGCGCTCAGCTAGGCTAATGCGATCCGCGCATTTCAGCTCGGATCCGTTGCCGGTCTCCCATGATCGATGGGACGAACTTGATCGGACGCTGGCATTACTGCTGCCGCTTGACCGGTTTTTGTTCAACTTCTTCTGGAGTTCTAGCTTCTTGCTGATCAGCTTTCGTTCTACTTCTGCAAGCTCCTCCGCGGAGATACGTTCCGCTTCGGCGTCGAGCTCGTCGATCGAACGGAGCGAGTGCCGGCTGCTGCAAGACGTTGCTGATGAAGTGGTGAGTGAATGAGCCACTGCTGGTTTTTTGTGCGATTTCACGCCACTTAACAATATGGCCGCCGAAAGTCTCGATTGGGCTTCAATGGCAAGAAAATTTGAATTTTCAAATCGTCAGAACACGAGTAGGCCATGGTTTCCCCTGGATTTTGGAGACTAGTCAGCCCAGACAGCCCGGGGAACACGCTGATCATCTGCGTGTTGTTTCAAGCTTTCCGCTCGTACCTCACATGACTGCCTTTCCTTCAAGAAACATTTGTTCTGTGTCGTGCGACTTTGGCTTCGTTCTGGAATACTCCTTGTGTCGTCGCTGACAATCTCGGCTCCGAGAAGCCCTTCCCGATTTTTCCCAGCTTAGATCGATATTTTCCCAGGTAGAGGACTATCCTCTGGTTGTCTTCCCCAAGTGTCATTAGAATACGCGCGTGAACTTCTAAATACGCGCGACGACAGGAGCCTGTTCTCTCTTGATTTGGAAGACAAAATGGTGTGGCCTTTTAGTTGCTGTTGAGTGTAGAAGGCTGCTTCCTGCTGTAAATTGCTTAGTCGGCATGTGGGATATTGCAGAAGAAGACAGCAGCCGGCCAAGTGAGCTTGAAATTGTGATATCTACCCTATTGTGCGTTGAACGATTACGAAATGTCGAACTTGAATGTTGTACACGCGAGCACGCCAAGCAGAGGCTGACAATCACTGGCGAGATCAATCTCCAGACTGCCAGGAGTACTTCGAGCAAGTTTGAAGCGGAAAAACAGCTAACTGGGCAGGCCAGGACGCCTTTCCACCCTCTTTCTCTCTCAAATTGCCGAAAAGTCGAGTATCTCGCTCGAGCGCTTTCAAAACCTTTCTCTTGGTTTCGCGTCCCAAATCGTGGAACCACG